GGAGAAAAGAAACCATTGCTAAGAAAGCCCTTTGAAAAGTAAAAATGGTTTTACAACATAAAAGCAAAAGCACATCAGAAGGGCAGTTCAGCAGAGTGCAGCCAGGGGATGGGACGACCAGGGGGCCAGACTGACAGGGCAGGGGCGGGACATGGTGCTCAGTTGTCTATGGTCACAGGAGGCAGCCCGCACCAAGGACTCACTCATTCTCATCAGCCACCAGCACCCCTAACTTTGGTTGGGGGCCAGAGTGTTGTCAGGGGGAGTCCTTAGGCCATGCTTCCAATCTTGGGGCTTTGCCACTCTGAAACTCAGATTCTGTGGCTCTGCACTGGGGGTACAGAACTGGATCGAAGCTGGCAGACTTAAATTGCTGTAGGGGCCAGACAGGGAAGTGAGACAGGCTGGGCAGGAAGGAGTCCTGGGGTGGGTTGTGAGTGTCGCTGCCCAGAAAAAGGTCCATCTAATTGTTGTAGCATCAGAATGGGGCTCAGTGAGAGCAGCTCCTGCCATTTCTCAAAAGAAAGTCAAAACCAGGATTTCAATTCTGGAATAGCAGCTGGAAGAATGAGATTCCAGTCATCATGCACCGTGAAGTAGATGAGGACAGAAATACAAGATGGACTCTGCTTGTGTCTCCTGGGGCCCAGCCAGCTGGGCAGTGTCTTTGGAAAGCAAGTAGGCATGCTTGTGCCCAGAGGGCAGTGGACAGGGGAGGTGGACATGGTTTGTGGTCCTCTTCCTGGGACAGGCATGCAGCCTCCCTTGGCAATATCTGCCAATTGCTTCCTCTCCTCAGAAGGGAACGTGGTCATTTGCCACAGCCGGGGTCCAGGTCCCCATGTCGGCAGTTGGGAGGATGTGTGAGGGACTCTCCCCTGCGTGACAGGGATCGGTAAGGCTAAGTGGCATGTAAGTTCTCAGCAGCTGCGGGGTCTCTCTCTGGCCAGGAGCTGGAGTGGCTGCTGGAGATCAACCGGCTCACGCACCGGCTGCTGTGCAAGCACATGACCCTGGACAGCTTCGACGCCATGTTCCGGGAGGCCAATCACAACGTGTCTGCCCCCTACGGCCGCATCACCCTGCACGTCTTCTGGGAGCTGAACTTCGACTTCCTCCCCAACTATTGCTACAACGGGTCCACCAACCGGTAAGGGAGTCCCCGAGCAGAGGGCCCTGGGGTGCGGTGGGGCCCGGAGAGCAGCCAGCTGCCTCCTCCAAACTAGGCCCCGCACAGGTGTCAGCTTGTTCCTGCAGCGGGCATCTCACAGAGCCCCTCTGGGTGCAGGCTCCGTGCTGGAGGCAAACAGACACCCTCCCGCCTCTTGGAGCCTTCAGGCTAGATCAAACAATTGCAGGATTGATCGAGTGACTTATCGCATGACAAATATACTGTGATAAGCAGTGAATGTGGAGATGGAAGAAAACCCTCAGAGCCAGGAGAGAGAACAGCATCACCGGTACCAGTGCAGGAAGCGACGCAAACCTCAAGAGAGGCTTCCTCCTCTGAGGAAGTGTGCTTGAGTTGCAGTGCAGAGGCTGAGTAGGAATCAATAAAGCGGAAAGGCAGAAGAACAGGGTTCCAGGCAAAGTTTCTAAGAAGCCGGGAAGCTGGCAGAGTGGAGCAGGTGGCATGGGGAATGGTACCAAGAGATGACGTCAGGATGCAGGAAGAGGCAGGACCACACAGGCCACAGGCCAGGATGGGGCACTTAGGACCCTTGGAACAGTTTAAGGAAGGAAGTGACATGATCGGATGGTACTCTGTGAGGGCATCCATGTATGGGAACACATGTGTGCAAACAGGCACACATGTGCAGAGCACACACACACACACACACGATGGAGTGGAACGCGTCTCCCACAAGGTGCACACAACTCGGGGCCAGGCGCCAAGGTAGAAACAAGACCTCACCCCTTATCCCCTCAGGTTCAAACCCCGGTGGGAGGTGTTCACGCACAAAGTAAGCCCATGAGGATGAGCGACACTGTGTTCCCAGGTCCTCTAGGATCCTCAGAGCCGGCACTGAGTCAGTGTGTGCTGCGTGAACGGAAGGCCTGGGAGGAATCCACCACTGCCCTGAACCCGTGCACTTGGCCAGATGCACTTCCCGTTCTCTGAAGATTTGGGGCTTGTAACTTTCTTGGCCCGCAAACCACATCTAGTTCCTGACTATTTTTGTACAGCCCATGAGCTAAGAATGGTTTTGACATTTTTTAAGCGGGGAAAAAGCCCAAAGAAGAATTATAATTTGGTGACAAGTGAAAATTATTTAAAATTCACAGGAACTCAGCCAATGCTCATTCATCTACTACTGTTTACGGGTGCTTCCCTGCTACCAGCAGAGCTGAGTCTTCATGAAAGAGGCCATCTGGCGGGCAAAGCTGGAAATATTGGCCGTCAGGGCCTGTGCAGAAAGAGTTTGCAGAACCCACCTCTTGAGAAACCAGCCCGAGGATGGAGAGGTGGCACCCCGGAGAAGGCCATGCTCACGCCCAGCCCACTGTTCTGAGCAGCCACAAGCCCCAAATCAACCTGTGAATCTGGACCACAGTTTGCCCGTCTGTGCAGAGGAGGCAGTGGTTGCATTGGGAGTATGTTAGAGAACTTGATTCCGTACCCTTACAGGCAGCCACCACCCGGTCAGGAAGGGCTCCCACCATATTGTGTCCCCTGAAGAATGTGAGGACCCAGTTAACTCCTGTCCCATCTCTTTTCTTCTCCCAGTTTTGTCCGAACTGCCATTCCTTTCACCCAAGAGCCGCAACGGGATAAACCTGCCAACGTCCAGCCTTATTACCTCTACGGGTCCAAGGTGAGTAGTCTTGCCTGTGTCCTACTTCTAAGAGAACTAGTGAGCCAAAGAGGCTAGAAACGTGTTCCCTGCATCAGAAAAGCAAGGTGTGGAGATAACGAGGCAGCAGTGAGATCCAGGCGGAAACAACTGCGTGTTTATTCATCTTTATTTGTTCACAACTAGCAAGGACAGGGGTGAACACAGGCCTGGGGTTGAATCCTGTGCAGGAGCTTTGGGGGTAGGTAAGCGGGGCGATGCATGCATGGGGTTTCTCGTCTTGGTGTCCCATCGCCTCCGGTTTCTGTCGACTCATTGTGGTACCGTCCTGTGACTCTGGGATCTGTGCTCTATAGATAGAAGGGATGTGCTGACTGGAAGTGGTTGGGAAGGTGATGCTTTGAAGGAAGTCCAGGTGACCGGAGCCAGAACTGAGAACTCTGTCTTCTGCCTGTGCTGCACTGTTCACACGCACACAGCCTGATGCTAACTGACGGTCCCCAGCGGTGCCTGTGCCAGACCCTCAGTCCCTGCCGTCCATGAAACAGACACTCACTAAGCACTCACTCTAGGCCAGACACGGCTCGCTTTTACATGCTGAGGATACACTAGAGATTAAAACAGACGTCACCTCTGCCCTCCTCACGCTCCAGTCCCACGCCCAGGGTGGTGACAGAGCAACACCGTTCTCCAGGTCCCCCTGTCACATGGCATAGGTAGGAGAGTCACTTCTCACCCTGGGAAGACGGCAGTTATGGGAAGACTAAAGAATGCCACCGAAATGGTGAAATGGGTCAACAACAACACAAAAGCCAAACTTTCTCCTTGCGGTGGAACAAAAACGGCCACCTTTGAGCCCATGTTCACGTGAACTTAGAAGAGGAGCCGACTGGGTAAACAGAACACTCTTAGGAAAGGTCATCCCCTGGGTCGGGGAGCCCTAGCTCAGGAAGTGGGATGAGCCAAGGTGAGTTCCCGCCAGTTGGCCCTAAAGGTGGGGCTTAGAAGGTCTTAGGATGAAGCCGAGGGAAGACAGGGGGCTTCTCCAGGACAGCCGGTCTGTCCAGCACACCTGTCTTAAATCAGATGCCTCCAGAGCGCATTTTAGGTAGTTTTCAAACCTCGTGGATTATGTCAGGGAGAAAGACTTCCGCTGGTGCTAATGGGTCCTTAATACTTCTCCAGTGCTTGCTAATCTCCCTTTTTACTGAAGATTAGAAAGTGAGCCTTAACCTTGGAGTCTTCAGTAGGCAGTGGTGTCTAAGTCAGGTTTATGATTTTGTTTTCATTCTGTTTATTCTTATGTCTCTTCTATTTATAGCAGGAGGGTGGTGGTATTCATTTTCAGAGTAATGTAAGGCTGCCTTTTAAAATATGTTTACATTTTTTAAATGAGTCAACTTAAAAATATTTGTGCCCTGGCCAGTGTGGCTCAGTGCATTGAGTGCTGGCCTGCGAACCAAAGGGTCACAGGTTCCATTCCCAGTCAAGGCACATGCCTGGGTTGCAGGTCAGATCCCCAGGAGGGAGCAGACGAGAGGCAACCACAAATGGATGTCTCTCTCCCTCTCTGTCTCCCTCCCTTCCCCTCTTTCTAAAAATAAATGAGTAAAATCTTATAAAAATAAATAAAATAAAAATACTTGCTAATAATAGTAAAGATAGTATATGGCTTAAAAAAATGAAAATGATGTACGAGGTGACATGCGATTGCCCGAAAGCCGGAAAACACTCGAGAGCAAGCCTTGTCCCACCTTTCCAAAACCACCCCCAGCCGCAGGCGCGTCTGCGGTCCTGCCTGGAAGCTCACTGAGACCATAATCCAGAGAGCCCGTCTTCAACCCCAAAACTGCCTTGGAACATTGTGTTTTATTTAAGTCATGCACATTTCAGTTTCTACGTCTTGATATATTCGTATTTGCTTTAATATTAAAATAACTTCTAAAATTGCGAGCTGCCCCTCCTCAAATGGACACTTCTAAGTGATGCCACGTGTCTACCTCAGCACACCAGGGTGGGTACCTGTCTGCTGGCCTGAGAAGCTTTGTCACGGGGCATCTGTGGACCCAGGGGGTCCGGAAGAACGCTGGCCTTTGAGGGGAGACGTGGGTAGTGAGTCTACAGACACATTTTTACAAAGGAGCTACTCTGTGGAGGGCGTCATGCTACATGGTGAGGGCTGCCTCCCCCCCCCCCCCCCACCTCTCACTCCTTGAACTGGGGCGGAATGGCAGGCTGGTCATCACCCGCGTCAGAGGCAGCCTGGTCGGCTTCCGCTTCCGCTTCCGCTTCCGCTTCCGTCCCGGCTCCGGAATCCTCGTGGGGCATTTCCACCAGGGGAAGCCGCTGCTGGTCTTCATCCCTCAGACCCAGGACGCGGGCCTCCTCTGGCCACCTCACCCGCCCATTGGCTTCCTCCATGTGGCCGGCTCTGTAGGACCAGCGGGGCTCGTGGCAGCGGATGCACCAGAACTGGAGGCAGACGAATGCTAAGACGGCCGTGAAGCAGGCCATCAGAATGGCCAGCAGGACCCACAGGGAGACATGGGGGTCCACCAGGGGGCTTCCGGAAGACAGCGGACTCTTCTCCATGGTGTGGAACATGGTGCAGTAGTGCCTGTAGGGGAAGGTGATCTTCTTGCAGCTGACGCACAGGAAGTAGAAAGTGGAAGGGGTGAGATGGTCCAGCACCACCTTGCTGACGGTCTTAGGCACCTTCTCCTCGTGTTGGAAGCTGTAGCGAAGATAGCCGGAGAAGATGCTGTTCCAGTTGGGCCTGTACATGATATGGTAGTAGTCCTCCAGGCAGGGCTCCGAGGACGACCAGGACACGATGGCTCCCGTGTAAGAAACGTTGCCAACCTCGATGTTCATCCTGATTCTGCAACCAGAATGGAAGTAAAGAGTGACTTCCCCTCAGCTGAGTAGCTGTTTATGATAATCACAGCCACTGTTTACGGAACATTCGTGATGGAGACTAACATTGCCCCCATTTTACAAACAGAAAAAAATGGAGGCCAAGAGACGACATTACTCAACCAGGCATAGCTAAACAACGGCAGGGCAGGAGTTCAAACTGGGGCTTTTGTATGCCAAAGCTGGTGGCCTGCAGACCTAAAAATGATGGGCCCACGTCTCCTAGCCTCATCCAGCCCAGGCCGGATCCTTTGAATACAACATGGTTCCCACCCCTTCAAAAAAAAAAAAGGGAAGAAAAGCACTGAAAGGACAACCTCTGAGTCCCTGCATGAGTCATGCAGGGACAGGAGGTGTCCCACACAGGTGTGTGACTTCCAAGTCAGGCAGGTGTTTCTCCTCAGTTTCCCTTCTGGGCTTCTTACATCTGCTCCGAGTGCTGGTAGCTCAGCCATCTAGAACATTCTGCCTCCCGGTTCTGTTGCCCATGGCAAGAGGAGATCCGCTTCATCACTCCTGGGCAGCTGATTTCTCCCCAAAGCCTCAGCTCTTGTTTTGTTTATTTTTTTCAAAGCCAGGGGTGCGCAGGAAATTAGCTTCCTGGGTCAGTACAGTCAGCTCTGAATACTGGCACAGCTGTTACTATTTAATATTACCGGTCCTATGAATGTTAATAGTGGCAGTATTACCAATGGTTAGCGTGCCATGGCTGTGTCACAAGTCACACTAGGTGTGCCACATACAATAATAAATCTCCTTAACTCCTCAACGCACTGTCCGCGCTAGATCCCCATTTTACAGATGAGCAATCTGAGGTGACTCGGCGAAGAAGAACCAGACTCAAAGCCACTGAACTGCTGGGCTTTCCAATGCAAGGCCACTGGGTTCAGTAATAGAAAGTTACTGCAAAAAGGGAGGCTGGCCCGAGGACCCAGTGCTGTTTTTCCAAACAAGTCAAACGAGCCCTCAGATCACCAGCCTTCTTGCTTTGGGAAGGGCGCGCCACCTGCAAGCCTTTTCACTCCTCTTGAACCCTGTGTATTTATTTCCCCTTCACTGACTCGCCCCGATCTAAAATTCCAGGACAGCCGCATGCAGTCCGTGTAAGGTGATGGGCAGTTCCCCCCACCCAGCTCTGTTCTCTGCTCCTCCTCTCGCATGCGGTGCAGGAGGCTTTGCTTTAGACTGCAGTGGCATGGTGGAAAACCGTCAATCAGGGTTCAACCAGAACTGGATATTAAGCCAGGCTGATTTCTGATCCAAGCTGCTCTCTGTCCTCCCTGCCACCCTCCAACCTTCTGTGTCCATGCCCCTATTCCTTCCTAAGAGGACGTGAGTGATTTTTCAATCCTTGTTTTTCTTCTCTAAGGATGACAGGGAACTAAAATGCTCAAGAAGGGGAGCAGTTCCTTTCTGTTTGGCAGAAAATTTCCTCCCCGAAAGATGGGGATGAAAGGGGATGACTGTGCTCAGGTCCCTCCAGGGGAGGTCATTTGCCAAGGACACTGAATATTAGCACTCCTTGCGGTGGGCTCCCCGACACCCCGCCCAGCTTTATACATACACTTCTGACCACGGGGAAAGAGCCTAATTCTTTACTAAGGGTGCAGAGGCAACGACCTTCGTAAAACCCTTCCAGCAGGGGTGATCAGGAATCTGTCTCTTGTCATGAATCTTTTCTCCCGTTTGCCTCCCCCCTGCTGCTGGCTGTCTTTGCAGACTGAGTTCCAACAGCAGGCATATTTAAGGGCTTTCTGTCAAGATGCTAGCAGCATCCTCCGCTTTTAGGACCAATTCCATCTCCCTTATTTATTTTTTTCTTCTTCTGCTTCTTTTTGGAAATTCCCCCGATTTGTAGCTATTCGTATGACCATTGCCTGGCCCTCCTCCAAGCGAGTGTGAAAGGAAGAGCCATTTCCTTTTCCAAGAAGAGCCATTTATGTCCCTTACCTGATGCTTGCAGCTTGTCTGGTTGGAGCGCAGCCCTCAGAGGCAGAGTGGACCCGGACTAAGGGAATGGTGCCTTTTCCCCGCCTCTGCTCTGGGCTCTCCTGATGCCTCTCTCACCGCCACCGCCACCGTCTGAGCAATCCCACTGTCGCCCCCAACACTCGCATTATTCATTTCAACAGATCAGCATCATTCACCATGGCAACCAGGAGGCAAATGTATGCACGTTGCTTTCAGGAACCAGTCTGAGAGGAGCTCTTGTTTATTTGGTGCAAAAAAAAAAAGGCAGACAGTCTGCTGCAAACTGATCCTCAGAGTGGTACTAATTCTTCCGAGGAGCCTAAATTTTCCACAGGATTATTATTATTTTATTATTATTATTAGCCCCATCTAGATCCCCTTTGCACAGTATTTTCAAAGGCAAAGATGCCCTTCTCCATTATCCCACAACTAAAACAGTAATTTCATCTCCATCCCACCCCACCCCTCTCCCACCCCCACCTCTGTATTCTCCCTTTTGTTCTGGTCTGCTGTGGCATTACCTAGGTGTACGACACTGTCCAAGTCTCTCATCCTCTGGGCCTCAGTTCCATCATCTGTAAAGCTGGGGGCCTGGGCTACATCCGGTGGCAGACAGAAGGCGTGGATCCACCTCTATCCAGTTCTGAATTTGTGTCAGGCTTGCTACACCATCGTGGTATTTGCAGTGGGTTGGTCTGGGTGTCCCCCACTCCCACAAAATCAGGTCCATGCAGAACCTCAGAATGTGACCTTATTAGGAAATAGGGTCTTTGTAGAATTCCTTAAGGGTCTCAAAGTGATCTTATGCTGGATTTAGAGGAATTCCTAAATCCAGTGGCTGGCGTCTTTATAAGAAAAAGGAGGGAGAGATATACACACAGACAGACAGGAAGGGAAGAAGCCACGGAAAGACAGAGGCAGAGCTTGGAGTGATGCCGCCGTGAACGGAGGAACTGCTGGGGGTCAGGAGCAGCTGGCAGGTGCCAGGGAGGACTGTCTCCCAGAGCCTCAGCGGGAGCACTTGGTGTCAGCCTTCTGGCCTTCAGAACCGAGGGGGGTGTGAGATTTCCATTGTTTTAAGCCACCGCATTTGGGGGGGGTGTACTGCAGCAGCCCCAGGGAACCACTCGTTCCATTGAGGCTCAGAAACACAGCCTCAGAGTCCTTCTTAACACAGCATCCCAAGAAACTACCAATCAGTCGTGTGGAGCTGACACCAGAAATAGAAACAGTCCGCTAGTCCTGGGTCGGATGATCCCCAAAGTACCTTTTCTTCCAAGAATCCTGACTTTGCCGTTTTCCACGTCCCTCGAAGGTCCATCAGCCTCTGAGCTTCCACCCCCTGCCGCTCCCCTCCGCCTTAAAAGGAGACATTGTCACTGTTCTGGTGGGGAGATCACAGGGCATGTCTGAAACAGAGAACCGAGTCCTGTCTTCTGCCAGCCACTGAGTTTGAGCTAATCCGTGGCAGCAACCCTGGCTCAGATACATTGAAGCCTGAATTCTTTTACACAAATTGTGTGTTGTTAAAAGTCAGCTTTGGTCCCTGGCTGGCGTAGCTCAGTGGGTTGAGCGCGGGCTGCGAACCCAAGTGTCGCAGGTTCAATTCCCAGTCAGGGCACATGCCTGGGTTGCAGGCCACAGCCCCCAGCAACCACACATTGATGTCTCTCTCTCTCTCTCTCTTTCTCCCTCCCTTCCCTCTCTAAAAATAAATAAATAAAATCTTTTAAAAAATTAATAAAATAAAATTAAAAAGTCAGCTTTGGCTGTTGGCCAAAGTAGCCAAGTGAACCCCGAAGGCTTCCTTGTGAGTCCCGTCAGCAACAAAAGGTCACGAAGAGGTGCCTGGGGGTCGCAGACCCTCCCCTGGCCCAGGGCCTCTGGGGCGTGGCGTCGGGATGTCCGGCGTCTCTTGATGAAACGTGCCCTGTGGCCTCCTCATGGCTTCGGTCTCCCCGGGGGCCCGTCCAAATCTGCTGTAATTGAGGCTAATGGGGCCTCCCCGCTGTGGAGCGTGAAAGCATCCCCTCCACAGAAAGGCCAGTGCGGCAGTTTGCAGGCGCCTTTTGAAAAGGTTATTTTCAGGGGAATAAAAATACCATTAGGGCGCCTGTGGCGCGATGAGAGAGAACTCGATCCTTTGCCACAGAAAAGGGGGGTTTACTTCTGATGCTCCTGGATGCCGTTTTTAACACTGAGCATTTTTTAATCCTCACCGAAGGTCATGTTTCTTTACCTCAGAGAAAGAGAGAGACATCGATGTGAGAGAAAAGTATTGGTCAGTTGCGCCCCATATGCACCCGGACCAGGGCTCTAAACCAAAACCTAGGTATGGGCCCCGACTGGGAGTCGAACCTGCGGCCTTTTGTTCTGCAGCGTGATGCTCCAACCAACCGAGCCACCCAGCCGGGGTTTATCTGAGAAGGTGAGACACTCAGAATATGAGGCCTTTGGCTGCAGAGATCCCGAGAGAAGGGCTGGCATTCCTCGGGCCGTGCCACTCACTAATGGCAGACCCAGGGCTGGAGGCTGCGTCCCTGACCAGGGCTCGTCCTGCTCCTTCAGGCCGCCTCCACTCACCAGCACCCAGAGGAGCCAGTGCAGCGCTTAGTGAATGAGATAAACCGTCTGGGGACACTTGCCCCCAGAGATCCCACTGCAGCCATGCTCACTCTTTCTTACCTTCAGGGAGGCCCTTCTGCTGGGTCTCTAAGTTGTAGCCTCTACAGCTGTTCGGCCAGGCTGTCCATACCAGGAGTAGACTACTGACAGACAGAGTGGGGTCCCTGTGCCCTTCCTGAAGGTGGCAGTAAAGGGACCATGTGAGGGCCCACCTGGGTCCCGAAGCTGGTGGCCACCCAGGGTTCAGCATGCAGGCCCTGAACCCCCCGGACCGGGTTCCCATCCTGCCTGGACAAATTCCCTCACTTTCTATGCCTTGGTGAACTTTTGTGTGAAATGTGAATGTCAGTAAGACCTGCCTTGCAGTGCTGTTGTAGCAGCAAGATGAACCCTCTCTCCAAAGTGCTGGCTTAGGAAGAGCAGCGATGATTACTGAGAAGAAAGAGGTCAGTGTGTCCGGGCCATTCCCTGAGTTGCTTGTAGCTTAGCCCGGAGGTGGTAATGGGCAGGGTTTATACCCTGCGTGATGCTTTCTTCCCCTCCTTTTTAAAAATGGTTTTGAAAAACCACATGCTTATTGTACATGAATTTAAAAATATAGAAACATTCAGAGAATGGCAGTCAAGTTCATCCAATTCAGAGATAACCACTGAGCATATTTTGGTGCATTTTCATGTGTTTTCTTATTGTACCCATGCAACAACTCTCCGCGGTAGGCGCAAAGGGCGAAACTGAGGCTCAGGGTTAATGAACTTGACCGTCACCACAAAGCCAGGTTGTGGCCAAGCAGTGCTCTAAGTCTAGGTCAGTCGGTCCCCAAAGCCAGAGTCCTAGCTGGTCTCTCTGATGCACTGTCATTTGCCTTGTCCCATTCTGCAGTCAACAGTAGTGAACAATAGCTCTCTGCCTGGTGGGTTGCTTCTCCTGAGAGGTCGAGACACACACACAAAAAATGGGAACAGGCAAGAAACTAAAAGACCTCAGAGAGAACTCAGCCACCTGAATGTAGTTGACTTAGAAGCAGGGAAAACATCAAACATGTCTGGAGAAATAGTTAGCAAGCATTTCACCTTCCGGAATCACACCTACCTGAGCTTGAGAACTCTCACTTCAGGTGAGGGCTGACGTCCAATGCAAGAAACCTTTGACAGCCGGCTCCGTCGTCAAAATTAGTACATGAGTCAAAACTTTGCAAGTGCATTCTCTGAGTGAAGTAATTGTATAGACTCCATCCCACAGCCGCCTTCCACGTCATGCAGATGGTGGCACAAATCGTTCCTTCAATTGTATCAGTCATTTCCTTATCATTTTTGAGCCTTTAGAAAGTGCTGATGTGGTCCTCTCTGGCTACACGTGCTCGTAAGGCACGATTCAACCTCTGGGAAATTCATCGTACTCCTGCAGTACCTTCCCCATTAGGTCATCGTCCTCATCCTCGGGGGCTTTGCTGCAGCAACCTGGGTCTATCCCACCTGGGTCCATACCTGGGCACCAGCTCTTACCAGGAGGCCTAACCTGGGGAATCTGCCTCAGCCCCGCTGACACCCCTACCAGCGGTGCCACCCGCTTTGCTGCGGCCACCCCTACTCCCAGGCCACCCCTTGTTTATCCGCCATCCAGAGAGTTCAGCGATTTGGGCAGTTGGTCCGTATGTCAGAATAGCATCTTGCATTTCGCCTCAGGCAAGTCACTGCACTTAGATTCCTCCTCTGCCAAATGGGGATGATTGCATCCCCCTCCCCTGGAATAGTAAGTTGATGATGACCCCCAAAGAGATCATGTCCTAATTCCGGAACCCGGGAATATTATTTGATTTGGGGAGAAGGGCTTTGCAGAGACGAGTAAGTAAAGGATCATACAACAGGAAGATTATCCTGGATCACCTGGGCGGATCCTACATGCCATCCCGAATGTCCTTCTAAGAAGGAGGCAGAGGGAGGTTGCACCCATGCGGACGAGAAGGGCAGATCTCAGCAGGGACGTTTGAAGACGGGAGCGATGCAGCCACAACCCAGGAGTGCTGGCTGCCACCGGAAGCTGGGAGACGCAAGGGTCCAACTCTCTCTAGAATCTTTGGAAGAAGAGTGGCCCTGCTGACCCGATGTCGGCCCAGGGATGCTGGTTTTGGATTTTGAATTCTAAGAACTACGAGAGAATAAATGTCTGTTGTTGTAAGCCACCAAGCTTGCAGTAATTTGCTGCTGCAGTCATGGAAAATGAAGGCACCTGGGTAGTTATGAAGGAATTACTAGGTGAAAACATTCATAAACCGAGAGGCATTATACACACATGAGAGGCATTATTATATTAGATTATTTTTTTTAAATGATGACATTGGTTTCCTTCAAAACTTTAGTGTTAGAGTGTTGGTATGGTATGGGATCTCTGAACAGGAAGGCTCGTTTCCTGCTCTCCCTCTCGCCTTCTTCAGAGGACTTCATTCCTACGACCAGAAAGGAAGAGCATCATTTCTCCAGGTCTCCACAGCAGCTGCCTAGAATCTTTCAGCGT